TTGCCCACTGCTGCTGCCATTGGGCAGTGAGTGTGGTGCTAGGGCCAGGTATTTGGCTGCCATTTGGTGGTACTGGAGTGTGAGGGTGGTTGATGCAGCTTGCTGACTAGTCTGGGTGGCCATTGTGGGCTCCCAGTTTCAGCCTCACCCTTTACCTACCTGCTGGATCCTTGGTGATGCCAGGGGTTTGATTGATCACCAGTTTTGGGGTCTGGAAAGGACTTCTTCCATGTGGCAAAACTGGCTGGCTAACTGCTGTGTGGGGTTTTTCACCTTCCACCCCGCATCCAGTTCTGGTCTGGGGGTGGGGGAGGAGGGGTTAAATTACAATTGTTGCAGTTCAGTAGGTTCCAGTGCAGTTCACGGGTTAGGGAAAAAAAAGAAAAAAGTGTCCAACTAAGGTCCCTGTAACTTATTGGGCTGCCTGGGTAGGATGATGTTGGGGAGGGCAGAAGTGCTTCTATCCTAGGCAACTCCTGGCTCCTCTCATCTCATCCCTACCACCTTCAGCATAGAGGAGGGGACTGGGTCAGGACTCTGGCTTCCAGTCAGAGTCTCTTGGCAGGCTTGAGGGAGCCGAGGACATGGCCTTCATACCCATCCTCAAGCTTATGTCTACCAAGGCCATTAGTGCTCACTGGGAAATGCACTGGAACAACCTTTCTGGGTATTTGGGGTAAAGTTACCTATCCAGTTAGGGAAAAGTTTTAAATAAAGCGGTGGCCTCTGCATTTAACCTTCTTGTCATGTCTGTCTCTCATTATTTCCATGTGCACGGAAGTGCACTTTGTTAGATTGAATACATTAGTCACACAATATTTTTTTCTGTTCTTGGATTAGATGAGTAACTAAGAATCAGGTTTGAGTGTCACATGAAGTTTAAAGTTTTGCAAAATGTTCTCTATTTAGCTTAAAACTTATTTCCATGACCACTCCTGCCAGTAATGTCATTCACAGGAACGTTCTCAGAAAATGGATGCAAGAGGGGAATAGACACAGGTGGAGTGAACTTCAAAATATTTTCCATAAATTATTCAAAGAAAACATGATGTATTAGCTCAGCTCTATTCACTCATTGTCAGCTCACAGTATGATTTTTTTTCTTTCCCTTGTATTAGTCTACTCTGCAGTTGATTAGCAATCAAAACACTAAAATGCTTTGACCATGTAAAGTGCAATCTAAATGCTGTTATTAAGTATAACATGTTATTGTTAAGTATTATGGTAATCAAAATAGACGTTTATGAAAAAGATTCATATGCTTTTAAAGAATTCAAGCACCTGAGACAAGGACAGTTGTTTCTTACAGATCTGGCTTCCATTTCTAGGTTAAGGGAAAAAATACAAAAGAAAGAGACCTGGGAAATAGAGAGATTTTGTTTCACTGTAAAAATTGAGGTTGTAATACAGGGACCTTGAGAGGGAAGAGTGTGTTGTGCTTAAAGCACTGATTAGGACTTGAGATCTGGGTTTGATTCTCATCTCCACCATGTTCTTCCAGTGTGATCTTCGACAAGTCACTTAGGCTTGGCAATACTGAGCAAAGCATGACAGTTTGATACTTCAAAATTTCTCATTCCACATTGGTATGAAAGAAGCCTTTCAAACTTTTTCACAGAAATCTCACAAGAGAGAGTACACAAACAAACCAACCTGAGAATAGCCAATAGCCAAGTGGTTATTAGCCAATAGCCAAGTGTGCCCTTGTTGCCAAGAAGGCCAATGGCATTTTGGGATGTATAAGTAGGGGCATAGCGAGCAGATCGAGGGACGTGATCGTTCCCCTCTATTCGACATTGGTGAGGCCTCATCTGGAGTACTGTGTCCAGTTTTGGGCTCCACACTACAAGAAGGATGTAGATAAATTGGAGAGAGTCCAGCGAAGGGCAACAAAAATGATTAGGGGTCTGGAACACATGACTTATGAGGAGAGGCTGAGGGAGCTGGGATTGTTTAGCCTGCAGAAGAGAAGAATGAGGGGGGATTTGATAGCTGCTTTCAACTACCTGAAAGGGGGTTCCAAAGAGGATGGCTCTAGACTGTTCTCAATGGTAGCAGATGACAGAACGAGGAGTAATGGTCTCAAGTTGCAGTGGGGGAGGTGTAGATTGGATATTAGGAAAAACTGTTTCACTAAGAGGGTGGTGAAACACTGGAATGCGTTACCTAGGGAGGTGGTAGAATCTCCTTCCTTAGAGGTTTTTAAGGTCAGGCTTGACAAAGCCCTGGCTGGGATGATTTAACTGGGAATTGGTCCTGCTTCGAGCAGGGGGTTGGACTAGATGACCTTCTGGGGTCCCTTCCAACCCTGATATTCTATGATTCTATGGTTTGGGCACTCAACAAGGATATGGGAAATCCAGGTTTGAGTCCCTGCACTACCTGATTTGGAGAAGGGATATGAACCTAGGTCTCCTACAGTCTAGTTGTTAGGACTCATGCAGGATATCAGCTATCCTAGAGTCTGTCATTTAACATGAAAAGCTTTGAAAGGTCTTTTATATCACTGGAGAATGAGAAATTTTGAAACCTCAAAAGTTTTCATGGGATGGTAAAAACATTTCCAACCCAACTGTAGGCCTAACAGTGTAAGTCACTTTTGAAAATAGGATTTAGGCCTTGCATTATTAAAGAGACCAACTCCTAAATACCTTTAAAAATCTGGGCCTTGTGTTGGAGCAACCTGAAGGGTTATTAAATCACTGATTGAACTAAAATGCTAGTAAATTAAACTGACAACCTATACCAAATACAATCAGGTACTTTAGAAAGGGATCTACAAAAAGGGAAGATGTGCTACCGAGTAAGTCCTCCAGGAAATGCTACACTTCCTGTATGCTCCAGAGGCAGTCTTTGGTTTCCTGTGACACACACACACACACACTCTGCTGGGACAGAAACAAAGCAGCCCAGGACAGTCACAGGCTCAGCTTCACAGAGTAGTTGAAAGTTTAATTACCTCATTCCGTAAATAGTTCCTGTCCATAATCAGGAGTTTATGGCACCGCTCTGCTTATCAGTAAGATCCTACACTACTATTGGCATCCTTTACTCTGTGAGGGAGAGTGAGAATTGCAGCCTAAGATATAGATGGTTTGCAATGTCTCGTGACTGAATAGTCCAATCTGAGATTTGCATGATCTTTGGCAGTTGTTGCAAATATATGTATCTTGGTTAGGAGCTGCTTGCTTCCTATGGGCTCTTTTCTCTTCAAGCTGTAGGAGCCAGCTCCTGTTTTGATGCCCTGATGGAGATGATGGCGCTGCTTTTTACGATCGCTTGCCAAGATTTCCCATCAATCAGGATCAATTCCACATTTTTTCCTATCTCGTTTGCATGTATCTTTATAGCAAAGCTTGGGATGTTTGGTTGTTCTTGTTCCCTCTGATAGATACCCAAGGACATGCTACATGGGGAGCTGTCTTCCAGCCTACTCAGAGGGTCCAGCCAGCGAAGTCATCTTTGCTTCAGCAGGGCTGCCACACTTGGTAAATTTGCCCTTTGAAGAAACTCTGCATTGACTTTATCTTGCCATTTGGTGTTGAGTAAGCAGCGTAAAGAGCATGGGTGAAAACTGTTTAACCTTTTTTCTGGATGAGCATAAGTTGTCCATGTTTCCCCACCACACGAGTGTGCTGAGGACGCAAGCTTGGTACACTAGCATTTTGGTCTCAATGGTAAGCTTTGAGTTGTTCCATGCTCTTTTAATTAGTCTGCTAAAGGTAGTGTCAGCCTTTCCAATGTGAACATTTAGTTCTTCATCCAGTGAGAGGGTGGTGGTCACTGTAGAACTTAAGTAGCTCAACATTTTGACTACTTCTAGCTGGTTTGCATTGAAGGTGATTGAAGGCTTTCGTGGAACCCCTTGTCCTAATATAACAGTTTTCTTAATACTGATGGTGAGAGCAAATGCCTGACAAGCACTTGGAAGGTAGTCCATGAGTTCTTGTAGTAGATCTTCATGGGTGGGTGTGACGTTGTCTAATTAAAATATAATCATGCAAATTATTGCTACCACTGCTATATAATTGCAACAAATCTTATACAAAGTATAATATACGACCAGAAAGGGTTAAACAGCTTGCAGGCTGAATGTCTCAAAGCCAACCTTTAAAGTCATGTTAGAAAGCATGTAAATCGTAATGAGGGCCATTCAATGTTAGAACTTTGAAATGTAAACCTATAGTGTTAGAAGTTAAAAAAAAGTTATACTAATAGTCTGTGTGTACTCATAAGTATTAGCCATGTAAACAGACAATTCTTGTCTGTCACTATAACTACTAATTCAGAGAGCAAAACGGAATATTAACATTTAGATGAATCTGGGTGAAATAATGTCATTGTCTAGATGTCTCTTTGAAGTTTGTGATAGAGTGCCTAATGGATAAATTGCCCTATGTTAATTTGTGTAATTAGTTACTGGTGAGGTTTAGAAAACAGAAGCCTATTGTTTACCCAGGACTGTATGGTCAAGCGGATGCTAGACAACTGTATAAAAGACCCTTGGGTCCCAATCCTTTTTATCTGAGATCTGCTTAAGCTTCATCAGGGGAAGTTTGAGTCACCAGACTGAGATCCCAGTTATGCTGATACACTCTGAATGTGATATTGGACACTGGACTGTAGACTATGGACTAAATTCCAAAAGAACTCTTTGCAACTACAAAAGCTCACCACCTCTGCTATGAATCTGAGCCTCAAGAATTGAATTCGTCTGTATGTATATTGATCTTTTAACCACTCTTTCTTTTTAAATAAATTTTAGTTTAGTTAATAAGAATTGGCTGTCAGCATGTATTTGGGTAAGATCTGGGATATTCATTAACCTGGAAGGTAATGTGTCCGATCCTTTGGGATTGGTAGAACCTCTTTTATATGATGAAAAAGATTTTCAGTAATTGTTTTTTCTTGACTTAGGTATCTGGATGGAGGCCTGAGGCTGGATCATTTTAAGGGAACTGCGTTGTTGGCTTCTGAGCAACCAGTGAGGTAATAAAGAATCTGTTTTGTGCTGGCTTGGTAAATCTAAGTACTGGAATATTCACCAGCTTTGGGGATTGTCTGCCCCATTCTTTGCAGTTCACTCTAATTGAGTGACCTCAGCTGCCTCCCCTCCCGGGATCCTGGTCACAGTGGACTATGAGGGCAGCATCATCAGCCAATAGAAGTCCCCTGATTAGCACCTTTTTGACTTTAGTGAAGCTCTGTGAAGAGATACAGACAGCCTCCGACACAGGAAACCTCAAAGTCATGTATGATGGCCTGAAAAAAGCTCTAGGCCCCACTGTCAACAAGGTTGCCCCTCACAAATTGCACAGCAGTGAAATCCTTACAGATAAAAGCAAGCAGTTGTCTCATTGAACACTATTCAGAGCTATACACACAAGAAACATACATCACCAGCAAATCACTGGACAAAATACCAACTCTACAGGTCATGCCAGAGCTAGACGTGGAGCCCACTGTAGAAGAGCTAAGAAAGGCCACTGATTTTCTATCAAGTGGCAAGGCTCCTGGAACAGATGGCATCCCAGCGGAAATCCTCAAGTGAGGGAAAGACAGCCTACTACCATATCTTCATCATCTGCAACTTAAGTGTTGGAAAGAGGGTGAGGTACCACAAGAGATGTGTGACATAAATCAGCACCACTCTGTATAAAAATAAAAGGTGAAAAGGGCAACTGCAACAACTTCAGGAGTATCTCGCTACTAAGTATAGTGGGAAAAGCTTTTGCAAATGTCATCTTAGTACACCTACAACAGCTGGCGAATCGTGTCTACCCTGAATCACACAGTGCGGATTTATGGCTGGAAGATCAACTATAGACATGATAGTTTCTCTGGGTCAACCCCAGGAAAAATAGCAAAAAGCAAAAAGCAAAAAGCAAAACCGACCATTGTACATCACCTTTGTGGACCTAACCAAAGCATTTGACAGTCAGCAGAGCAGGTTTATTTGCAATACTAGAAAAGATAGGATGCCCACCAACCCTGTTAAATCTTTATGTTCATTCCATGACAACATGAGAGCAACTGTCCAGTTTGACAGGTCTTTAGATAGCTTTGAGAAGAAAAGCTGAGTAAAGCAAGGATGTGTTCTTGCCCCTTCACTCTTTGGAATCTTTTTTGTACTCCTGAACTGCACGTTTAAGGACATGAAAGATGGAGTGTATCTCCACAAAAGATCAGACAGGAAACTCTTCAACCTGTCACGACGTAAGTCAAAGACTAAAGTCAAAGTGTTACACTATCCCTTTACCATAAAAAAGGAAATTAATCGGAATCTGGTCCAGTGTTGGGAATTTTAGTATGAAACATATATTCTCCTTTTAATCTCAAAGTACTGAATATGTAGATACAGACAATAGAAACAGTGACTGCAACAAACAAAAAAACCCACTACACTCCCAGATTCAGCAATGTCTACGAGACCAGCAGAGGATGTGTGCCACTACAACCATTTTAAATGGTTTTCCATTTTAACTAATACAACAATATATGGCCCCCCATCTTGCTAGCATTTAGACTTAGAGAAACCTGTTTCTCTTTATGCACGTGAGCAATCACACAATGAGACTACTTGTGTGCATAATGGGAAGCATGTGCCTAAGTGGTTGCAGGAGTGGGGTCTGCAACTCCACAATAATCCTGTGTTGCTTATTACACATACTTGTGTTAGCCTTTAGATGGTTACTGGGTTGTTTTCTTTAGGGAATAAAGTGTACCAGTTGTGTTTGTTTGGTTATCCTCACTCCCTCCTTTCCCTGCTCCAGGACAGGAAAGTGCTAGCAGCTTTGGCTCTCAGGTTGGCAGGAAATTTAAAACGGCAGTGAGCCACTGTTTGGACCAACCCCAATACATTTTTTTCATTGATACAAGAGCCTATTTAAGGTGAGAGTCCACTTGTCAAACTTAGACTCCACTGAAACCTATCAGTAGTTGTGTAACCATTAACATTTGACATACTCTCCATAATGAAGATGCTGCTGAGTTTGGTTGTTCTGCTCTCTGTTTTTCTGTTGATTAGTTCAGCTCCTCCAACATGCTACTCAAGGATTCTATCTTTGAGCAAAGAAATCATGGCATCATTTAAGACTTTACAGAACACTGAACCTGTGGTGAGTTGATCTAAAACACTACTTAGATTGTTGCTTTTGAAACAAATCTCCCTAGGGGAAAAAAAATGGCAACGTCTCTATTCTTTACTACAGGACCCCTGCGTGGAGATGCTGCCCAAGCTCTACTTGGACATACATGTAAGTTGACACTATTCCTTCTTTACAACCATGAATTAAAAGCAGCTAATGAAAAAAAGTGCAATTATGGGACCTACTTTGAGTATGTATTGAAGCTACTTTTTGAAAGTCTAACCAGACTAGAGAGAAACAGTGAAAAGCAGCACTGTAGGATCTCATTTAAAAATGAAGATGTTTTTCTGAAGGTTTTTTTGTTGTGGTTTTTAAATTTTGGAAATGATTAAATCACCATTTAAGTGAATAACATTTGTATATTTATTATAATGGAATTTTACCAGCAAGTAATGTATTTATGGGAATGCATGAGAATAGTGAAAAGGTCAAAAGCAGAATCAAGACCATTGTGTCTTCTTTCCAGATGTGGCATATCTAGCTCATACAAATTGCTATTTTAACAAATTCAAGTGGAGGAGTGCATTGCTGGGTTTCTTTTTTAAAAATCAGCTATCACTTCTTGAGCTCTCTGAAAGTTTTCCATAGGAGACAAACGAATGGCAGCAATAATAATAAATGCATGTCCATCCACCACAAAGGATGTGTGACATGTTCTTTTGTGCAAGCACCTTAAGTTCTAGTGCTAAGCACTAGAATATGCCGTGTTATGCTTTCTTCACAAACAACTGGGAAAAACCCCTAAATTTTGCTGGAGGCAGCATAATCTAAAGTCGTCAGTAAAGGGCTGAGACCCAAGAACTCCTGGTTCTACTCCCAGCTTTGCCACTGACTCACTGCATGGCAAAGTGCAAGTAATTTAACTTCAGTGCCTCAGTTTCTCTGTTTTCAAAATGGGGATGGTAATTTATTCACCTGCTTTACAGGAACATGGTGAAATTAGTTAACATTTGTGCAGTATTTTGACAACATAAAGTGCTATGAACAAAGTTCCACCTGACCTTTACACCACTGTCCAGTGGGAATGAGGCAAATTATGACAAAGATCTTGGTTACTGTATATTGTAACAAACGGAGATGCTCCTATTGAAGGAATAGACCAAATTCTCCTGCATATAATTCCACTAACTCCAGAGGGTTATGCTAGTATTATCCTCTACTAGAGAGCATAAAAAGAAGCCAGTGATGCTATTGAACTATGAGAGCCAAGACTGGAGTGGGAGGGGCAGGGTCTATGCAGTTACCCCAGAATATCCTGTTAGATTGCATGGAATTAAGTGCCAGTAAAACACCAAGTCAGAGATGTAAAACAAAGAGGGAGCAGACAACCCTGTTATGAAATACTGATTGTTTATGTAATAAATAGTTTATTTAAAAACACATACACAGAGCTGGGAGTTCTCCATTCTGATGAAAGGGAATATTTCAGAGTGGCCAATGGGTAGTGCAAACCCACCAGTACTGCATCCAAACAGTTTTACAAATCACCCTTTCCCTGCCTTGCAGAATTATTGTGTGTTGGCAAAACTCCGAAACTTTGTGGCATACTCCGCTTGCCAAAGAGTGCCACAAGTGAGTGCTCTGAAGGAAAAGATCCGGAGCCTGTACACCATTATGATCTCCTTCTGCAGGAGGGTATGTCAATGAACGTACATTGCTACTATAACATCTGCTTCCAGCCAGATCCAACTGCCATTGACTTCAGTGGAGTTGGATCAGTCCCTAACCTTGATATTTTCACTGTCTTCTGCCTCCTTATCACCCATTTATAAAACTAATCATTGCTCTTATTTCCCCAGGACTTAGTGTTCCTTACTGACGATTGTGATGCTTTGGAAATCCCTATCCTGTCTCCTACTGATCCCTCTGTCATTCAGAGCTAAAAGAAAGTCAGACCACAGGAAGTACCTGGGATGGTTTAAAGGAAGCCAAGAGCCACCCAAAAAATGCAATCAACTACAACATTAACAACCTTGTTCTTTTTCAAGCACACCAGCCCTATTATCTCAGGCCTACCCATGTTTCTCAGCCTTGGCAGGAAATGATCTGCATGCCTTGCATACCTATCAAGCTGCTAGCAAAACTATGGTTAGAAAGCATTTTAGTCATTTGGCATTTGATGTTTCAGTTTAGCCAAATTAGAAAGTATGTTTTGTTTGATCAGAAATTAAATGCTGGGTTTGTTACTCTTTCATGAATAACTACATTCATACAAAGAAAAATATGATTCATATTTTAACTTAGTGGTTCCTCTCGAGGTAAACTTGCGATTGTCTGTTTTTTCTAAAGCAATTGGTAGAAGTGTTAGTCTGTAGTCACAGATGTCTCTGTACTTTTATAGTTTGTATACATGTATATTGATTGCTTTTAGCGTCAACCTTGTATGTATCAAAAATAACCCTTCAGCCAGTGGAAATCTCAGTGAAAAACTAAATTAAAAAATCCTTCTATCCAGAGAAGTCAGCATCACATCATGTCCATTTCATGTACACACTGAAAGATATCATCCCTCTAGCTTTTTTCCCCACAATCACCCCATAACTTGGGGTTTTTCCCCCCAGCATGAGCGGTCTTTAGTTTTGTTTCCATGGCAATGCAAACATTTCCATGCCTGCAGAATGAAGCTGTGCTTAAAAAGGTCATCAAGATGTGTTTTTAAACATTTTAGGAAACACCCATTTTTAAATGCTAACTTTATTAGTACTACTATATGAATATTCATTTTTAATTCAGTTTCTGTGTTACGAAAATTTAGCTTGGTGAGAGCAGTTTCGGAAGCTTATTCAGAACTTTGAGTGATAATTGAGTCATAGAAATACAATACATATATTGGATATAAAGAGCCAGACTGGAAACTCCATGAAAGCATCCCATCTAGTAGGAGGGCTTAGTGGCCCTGAAATGTGTACAGGGAGTGAGCCCCTCCCCTTCCAACCTTGCAGATCCTGGGGACCCACTTAGAAGAAACTCTGAGACCCATGGAAGTGGCCGCTATATGCACAGATGGTCCTTCCTCAATTCTGTGCTACTGGTTCCTCCTTCACGAGCCTTGTTGCTGGTGGTTGGTGCGTTGTTCTCAGTTGTTACCAGCTCTCATGATTTTAATTGCCAATCTCAGTGTCGGGTATTTGTTGAAAGCCCCAGCTCCTGGAATCATGTGATTGTGAGAATCTCAACTTTCATTTAAAAAGACAAAAGTTCCTAGCCCTCTTGGCTGCAGTGAAAAGCTTGGAACCATGAACCCCAAAGGCTCAAGAGTCATCAGGCAACTAAAAAGAACCCTCAAATGATCTTTTTTTAAGTGTCAAGGTTTAGGGGACAGGAAAGAACTGACATGTTTTTGGAACATTTGGGGTTACCCAATACCACAGAAACTATAGTCCATTCTCAGCTGTGGCATGCAGCACTCGGTTCCGCTCTATGAAGAGGGGCCATTAGAATTTTCCAGCTCCTTCTCACAGATTTACGTATCAATAGCAGCTGCTCCACAATGTTTGATCACATTGGGGCTGCTCATGACCAGGAGCACAATCATGCATAGAGTTCTTGGGGAGATGGGTTGCACCTACTGGATTAGGTTCTGAGGAGGGAGAATGTTCTAGTGTTTAGAGAAAGGAACTGGAATCAGGACTCCTACATAATGTTCCAACAGAGGCCTTTGTGTGACTTTGGACAAGTCAATGTAACTTCTCTGTGCATCATTTTACTCATCTCTAAAATTAGTATAATATTTTCCTGCCTGACAGTAGTGCTCCGAGTTTAATTAAAAGGATGTGATATTTTCAGAAAGGCAAAGTATTGAAGTATAAATCAAAAATTACCATATAGATTAATGAAGATCTAAGCAGAAATAAAATATGCCTACAGAAATCAAAATGAGCTTGAGAATTCCAATAAAAAAACATTGCCATAAGCAAGAAAGACTAACTCCTTTGCTTGAAGGATAAGTTTGACCTTGACCTTTGACTCTATTCAGGTGCATTGAGTGTGTATTATTTACCTCTCAGCAGTCCCATGTATTCTGAATATGAGAGATTTATTTGAAAGCCATCCCAAGAACTTCTATAACCCCAGAATATCCTGTTTGACTGCATGGAATTAAGAGCCAGTAAAACACCAAGTCAGAGATGTAAAACAAGCAAAATGAGAGCGAGGTGGTCCCCCTCCACCTTCATATTTGGATCTCAGCCTCTTCCAATTTGTGTATTATCTGAAAAATCTCTATATAGAAAGGCATCTATAAAACCCTAAGGCTTTATCTACACTAGAGAAATACAATGTGCTAACCACCATTTCATTCCCCTGCCATGCCTGGAATACCGCCCCCACCCCAAATGTACACATGTATTCCCCAAATTTCTCCTAACAATGCACAGTCACCCACACAACCTTTTGGTTTAGTCCTGCTTCCAAACAAGACTCACCACCATGTGATCTTCAACTAGTGCACTGCCAGTGTGGATTTAGGTGCTGACTTAACAGTCGTAGTGGTGCAAATAGTCCTTCTCCAGCCACACCACAGTGGGCTGATCACTGCCTAGGTTGTTTGTCTAATGTGTTTTCTGTTCAAGCCTCTTCCCTCTATGGAAAGTACTATACACCCCTTAGAACTCATTTGTAAGCAATTTGCCACTCTAACTTTTTTGATAGCATTGACCTAAGGTCAACTCCTTTAGCAGCACGTGTGTGTCAGAAGAAAACGATTAGCATGCTGGCAGCAGGCCAGGCAGATCACAAGTACTGGTGTCTCTCGGGGGAATCCAAGAAATTGAGTCACAGCTGAACTCTGATAAACAAAAACCACTCATCTATAATTAAGTGTCTGAGCACTTGGACATTTGGTTTAGCAAGCCGTGCTGGGGAAGATCTTAAGGGCCTTACAGTGCAACACAACGAAGCCCCTGATAATAATAGCCAATCCTGGGCAGAGGGGAACATCTGCCCATTTTGGGAAGACCTGGACTTGACCTTCAGTGCAGCCTGATGTGCTACTAGACAGTATAGATCAGGGATCAGCAACCTTTGGCACACAGCCCACCAGGGTAAGCCCCCTGGGGGGCCGAGCCGGTTTGTTTACCTGACGCGTCCGCAGGTTCAGCCGATCGCAGATCCCACTGCCCGCGGTTTGCTGCTCCCTTGCACGGGGCGAGGGATGTGGTGGCCGCCACTTCCTGCAGCCCCCATTGGCCTGGAGCAGCAAGCCACGGCCAGTGGGAGCTGCAATTGGTTGAACCTGCGGACACGGCAGGTAAACAAACCGGTCCGGCCCACCAGGGGGCTTACCCTGGTGGGCCGCATGCCAAAGGTTGCAAATCCCTGCATAGGTGCCAACTTCTCCTGGCGCTGGTGGGTGCTTGACCCTCACCCTGCAACACCTCAACTCTACCCCTGCCCTGCCCCTATTTCAACCCCTTCCCCAAAGTCTCTGCCCCAACTCCACCCCCTCCCTGCCCCTATTGGACTCCTTCCCCAAATCCCCGTCCCAGCCCCGCCTATTCCTCGCCTCCTCCCCTGAGCATGCTGCATTCCCACTCCTCCCCCCTCCCTCCCATAGCTTCTTACACTACAAAACATCTGTTTTGAGGTGGCAAGCGCTGCATGGAGAAGCGGGGATGCGGTGTGCTCAGGGGAGGAGGTAAGGCGAGGTGAGCTGGGGCGGGGAGCTTGGCTGCCGGTGGATGCAGAGCACCCAAAAATTTGTCCCCATGGGTGCTCCAGCCCAAGAGCACCCACGGAGTCTGTGCCCATGGATCCCTGGTATAGATGCTCCCTGTACTGCAATGCTGAGGGATAAGGAAAGGACAGAGGAGAAGGTTTGCTCCATAGTCCTGGCAGACCAGCGATGAGGAGCTGGACTGTAAAATGCCTAAGAACATATCAATACCTGAGGACAGGGCTGGATTTCCAATTAGACACAGTAGGCACTGGCCTAAGGGCGCCAGCGTTCTAGGACCATCTAAAAGTTGTGGGGTTTGTTTTTTTTTAAATACAGACATGAAAGTCAGCCGCAGAGGCAGGGGAGGCGGGAGAGGAGGAGGACATGGAGAGGCAGGCCCTGAAGATGCTGTGCCTAGGGATGCGGAAGGTGCAAATCCAGCCCTGCCTGAGGTCCACAGATAGTATCAGAGGCAATGACCAATCCAGGTTGGGAAGAGGAATTAGGAGACTAGGAATCCTCTACAGCAGATATATACAGCAGTTCATTGTAATATATACCAATGGCGACTGACTTTTGCAGGGTCGGGGGATAATGGAAGGGACTTCTGGGCTCCAGTGAACACTGAAGTTATCTATATGAAATGGACATATGGTATGTGGCCTTACATGATGGGGGAGGTAGCCCCACTTGGGGATGGAAATACCCACTCCCTCCCTTCACATTTGCAAAGTGCAAGCAATAGCTACTGAGCCCCTCCCTCAACCCACTTTGGTACCCCCTCACCCAACTGTCAGCTGCATGAGCTGATGTCCCGGCAATGGCAGATGTGCCCACCAGCTCGTTGAGCTACACCCTAGGATCAGACCACAATGGGGTACAAGTAGGGGATTTCTCTACTCTATTTGAATTGAATCCCATGACCCTATCTTCAGGCTTCTCCCACATTATTCCCATTCCCCCCATATTCCTTCCCCCACTTTAGGCTTATTATATTTGTGAGGGAAGTCTAATCTGATGCCTTTACTATTTCTAGTCCCAGGGCAAAGGGTCTTTCAAGAAGGCTCTAGAACTGGAGACTGAACAGAAATTGTTACTTTTGTATGGCTAGTGACTTTAGCGTTTCTTAATTTTCATGACTGCACCACCGTTGGTACAATCTCATTCATTTACCAATGGTTCAGTTCTCCCATGTCGATACAGCCTTCGTCTGCATGAGCTGGGAGAAGAGGCTGGGTGGTATTTACACCAGGCATTCTAGATTGGATTTTAACAGCTTATCCATTTCCACTTAGTGTTTTATCTTATTCCCAGAATCAGTTCTGTCTGATCTTTGAAGTGCTTTCCCACTAAGTTACATTCCCAGTGGGTTCAACTCAGACTTTATCTGGTCTCAAATGCCATCTTTAATGGAAAAAAATACTGAAAGCAGAGCCAGCACTTCCATTTCACAGCAGCATACAGTGGCCCAGTTCACCCCAGTGAGATCCATGGGCGGGAAAAGCACCATGTGAAAGATGCACAGGCACTTGTGCAGCACAGTTCCTCTCTTAGGTCTCAGTGGAGGGTGCTCTTCAGGATCAGTGGAGGGGTAAGGAGCAGGGACTGGGCAGGAATTAGGGAGACACATTTTAGTTGCCGTGCACCTCATGTAGTCATTTTACATCAGTGCAAAGCAAGTGTAAAATGCTACAAAATTCAATTGGTAGCAATCTATGTTCACGTTGCACCAGCGTACAATGACTGCAAAAGGTGCAGAGCCATGAAGAACCTGGCCCATTGTCTGTCCACTCGCTTTGTGGAAAAAGTAAAAGTAATAAATCCTGGGGCTAGATGATCTTTCCCTGGATCCCCTCTGCATGCAGCA